AGTGTACTTGCCTTGTCCTGACTGTTGAGCTCTTGATAGGGTATATGAGCAGGCAGGTACGTGTGAAGGACAGCGCAGAAAGCCAATCCATCATTCCAGCTGCTGCTAAAGTTGGTAATGTCGATGTTCTGTGTAACAAACAGACATGACAGACTTCATATAAGCCTCCTAGACTTTGCATTAGCAATAACGAAAAATGCAATATTATGAAAATAAAGCTGCAGTACATTTAAAACCACATTAGAGAGGGTTTCAACATGATACACCAGGATTAAGTCATGAAATGTGTGCAATTCAGTGTGGCACATTCAATGGAACATAACCCCACAATGCAAAATGTACTCATCTTCCTGTGGTGTAAAATAAAGCAGATTTCCTGTTCATAGCTTCTCCCACAACCTCTTTTGTGCGCTAAAGAGCAAAATAATATGTTTCAGATCCATTTCTACAAATGTCCACAATGTTTTGACTTCCACTTTTCACCGTAATGTGGCAGAGAGACTTCAGCCTCCCAGACATCCTTATTTAGGGATGAGCAGATAGTGCTGAAAGGAATAAAGTGTTTTTTTTGTTTCTATATTATTTTGATGCTTGAATCTAATACAAAAGCATCAAGCCATTTCTCTTCCGTTCCCCTTTGATAACAGTTGTGATCACAGCTCATAGTTTCACATGTGGGTAAAGTCTTGGTGGTTAAGACAACCAGAAACATGAGAAAAAAACTCATGTTTACTCTACTTCTTAAAATATGTGCAAACAAGCAAGGCAACTGCAACATTAAGCTGCATTTGTTTATAATGCATTTGAATTTTCACACTGTGTATCGGAAAACTACTGAGGATGATGTATTTTAAAAATGGAGAAAAAAAATCCATTCACAAATCAATAAAAGATTTATTGGAGACTTTGTTGCATAAGAAAAATGTAGTCATTTCTAAATAAAAATGCCCTGATGAAGCAAATTCAACAAATTTGTTCGCAGAAGTGCTGCTGACGACCCTGTTTTGCGTCAAGTAAGTGCCATTTAAAGTGCCAGAGAAATCCAGCGGACTTCCTGGTGAGGATCTTTATAAACATTGACTATGACAACCACACAAGCTTTTCTGGAAGAGATAGACCTTGTTTAAAAAGTAGAAAAGAGCTTTTCACAGAAATCTGACAGGGGGAAAAAAGATGGATATAACAGGTATGACATGGGCTAGCATTACAGCTATTATTCTATGGACAAAGATGACATCTGAGATTCGGCAAGAATAAAACTTCCAAGACAGTCCAAGTGATCAAAAGTTCCGACATGAAACTGACAGCAGCTACAAAATAATAGTGAGAGGACATTGGAAGAACACAACAACATCACCATTAGCTGATATATAAAAAAATAATATAAAAAAAATCTTCAGAATCAAAATGAAAGTAATCTAGCAATGTGCTTTTTATGGTATATATTAATTATTTTAATTATCATATATATTAAATAAGTATATAGGTAAATCTAAGTATACATTTTTAAATATAAGATTTTTAACAAATAAATTAATATAATATACATTTCTGCTTCTAATTTACATCTTATAATACAAACCTGATAACCCTCGGTTTTCTTCTGACACCACCTCAGCAGTGCATTTCTTTTGGAACCACCATATTCACGAGCCAAAGCTGACAGAGGGTCTTTTCGCTCCTCTCTACACGGATAAACAAACCAAAAAATGACTATTTTAGCAATCGTGTTATCAACTCAGCGAAAGCATTCCAGCATTTTAGATTCATATCATGGAATATCTTGAACTGGTCAAGTTGCATGTTCACTGATGGCCGTGACATTTATATGAGAATCAAAACAAAAATGTGTATGATACAGCATGCGTGTAGGTTAGCCAGTTGTAGGGCAGGTGCGTACCGAAGGCGGCTGCGTGCTAAACACATTTCATTACACCAAATACACAAAATAATGTTCTTTTTAGCAGCATCATATGACCCTTTTAATTTTCAGCATCATTACTCCAGTCCTCAGTGTCACATGATCCTTCAGAAATCATTCTTATATGCTGATTTGCTGCTCAAGAAACATTTCCTATTATTATCACATTATTATTCTTATTTTTAAAACAGTTGTGCTGCTTAATATTTTTGTGGAAAATGTGATGTTTTTTTTTCTCCAGAATTCAGTGATGAATAGAGATTTCAAAAGAACAGCATTTATTTGAAATAGAAATCTTTTGTGGCATTATAAATGTCTTTACTTTCACTTTTGATCAACAATGCATTCTTGCTGGATAAAAGTTAACGTCTTTCAAAAAAATCTCTTTATTTATATTTATGAATAAAACATTACATCACTGACTATGAGTGCATTAGCTGAGTGTTTATTATAAGCATAGTGTCTGTATTAGTTTGATTTTAAATAGGTCTAAGCTTCACCTGTGATAGTCTTTGATGTGTCCATGTTTGAGACTCTCTGAAGAGCTGAAGCAGGACGGCTGCCGTTGGCTGCTCTTAGTAGATGCTCAGCTGCAGACAGAGAAAGAGAGAGATATTATGTCATAATCCGGATTTCAATATCTGTTATCAGTTCATCTGGGAGCTAAATATAATTCTGGCAGTAATAGGAAATAACACAATGAAAAAAAAAGAATGAATGTTGCAGTCTACAAACACACGAAGCTAACTTGACAAATGGACAATAAAATGTTATTGCAGATTAAATCAATGACAATCAAATGCTATTACATGTATAATCAAAGAAATCAATCTAATAAAATGAAAGGAACATTAGAGAGGAAAAAAAAGACTAATGTTGGCAGCCAATAAGTTTCAATAGCTGTAAAGGGTCAGACAGGGCAAAAGATCACTCCCGCACGAAAGACATCCTGCCAATCAAAACACGGTCCACAAAGGCTGATAAGAGTTTCCAATAAGCAGCCGAATGTAAAAGCAAGCATGACAAAAGGGCTCCATGCTCTCTCTCGCACGTTCACAAACACACACTGCCTCCCTCTCCAGCATAATAACGGTGAAAATGAGTGGGGAGGAGGCATAAATAAAGGAAGCTGTATTAAGACTTAGCACCTGATACTTGTAAAAGGTCTCAACAACAAGATATCAACATTAAACATTTCCCTTCCTTTGTGTTTTAGTTACTCTCTTAGCTTACTAGTTTAGCATAGCACTAAATTAAGAATGCTCTTTTGATAAGCTAGAAAAAAAATTGTCACAACAAACGAAACATTTTCCTTATTTGTGTTTTCAGTTAGTCCCCAGTTAAAAAGTTAACACCTTAGCCTACTAGTTTAGCATAGCGCAAAATTGTTAAGAGTGCTCGTTTGATGAGCTACAAAATATTCAACATTTCACTTTAGCCTTTTCCCTTCTTCAGTTAGTCTTCGGTTAACTAATTAACAGCTTAGCTTACTAGCTTGGCATAGCAATAACTGCTTAAGAACTCTTTTGACGAGCTAGAAAAAAACGTCACAACAAATTAAATATTCACTCCAAAGAGAAAGGAAAAATTTAAATCGCATCATATGACCCCTTTAAAAAGCATGAAACATTTGTGCAGAATGTGGAAAATCTAAATCAGGATGTGCAACTCAAACTCACTCTCTAGGTCGCTGATGATGAGGTTGTCATGAAGTTTGACAGCTCGGTGCTGCTCCACTTCATCTTCGAGCTCAAAAATGGTCTCCTTCATGTCTCCAATCTCCGTCTCCTTTTCCTGCAGGTCCTTACGCTGCTTCTCTAGAGCCCTCTTCTGCTCGGTTAACTCTTTCTGCACCTCGCTTTGGAAGTCCCTGTACTCAGCGTCCAGCTGGACCACCACAAAAGGAAACAAGGAGTAGTCAAACAGGCTCCTAACTGTTCTTAAAGCAACTGAACAAGTGCTTAAGCTCACCTTGTTGATGGTGTCCTGCAGACATGCCACCTCATTGCGAGCGTGGCCCAAATCGTCCTGTAGTTTGGCGGCTTTGGCTTCAGCTTCTTCCTTGTCCAGTCTAACCCCCTCCAGAAGCTGGTGGATGTCGCTCTTATCTCCGGCATTGTGGATGGAGTAAAGCTCTGCAACCTTTTGCCTCTCCTGCTCAAGTAACGCCCGACAGCGGCTCAGCTCAGTCTGGTCGTTGCTGACCGCAGCTTTACACTCCTCCAGAACTGCCACCATGCCGGCCCGCTCCTGCCTTTCCACCTCTAGAAGTCGCTCCATGTGATGGTTGCGCTCCTTCAGTGCTGCGATCACACTCTGAGCCTCGGCATTATCCTGCTCAGCCATCTTTAGAGTATTGCTCAGATGTTGCTGCACACCCAAGAGCTGCTCGCGCTCAAAACGAGCATTTTCTGCAAGCTCCACATAGCGTTGCTCTAGCTCCAGGTATCGGCCACTCTTGATGTCTTCGTCTACTGAGTAGGTCACGCCGTGCTCGTCCAGAAGGGAGCGGAAATACTCTATCTGACGGCCACAGTGCTCCAGTTTGTCACTCTGTTGGCAGAGGGAGTCCATAAGCAGGACCTTTTCCTCTCCCAGGCGTTCATTTTCGCCGTTTAGTTCCTGCGTGATCTGTTGCAGGTCAGCCAGTTCCTGTAGAGTCGCTTGGAGCTCCTCAGCCGTGCTGTGTTGGTTTTCCTCCATCTGGTGAATGCGCTCTGTAAGGCACGCCACTGACACCTCGCTGGTGTTTCCGCTGCTCCCCTTACGAGAGGAATTGCGACATGCTGGAGCGCCACCTTCTGACTCAGATGATGACGAGGAGCCGCAGCCTGAGGGAGCATCCAAAGCGTCGTCACTGGAGGTCACCGCTTGGTAGACCTCACTGGACTCGCTGTCCAGGTTGTCCGTTGAGCCACTTCGCTGGCCTCCCGTAAGGAGGTCCTCCATGGAGCCTGGTGCGGATCCCTCCACAGAGGAGGCCGCAGTAGCACAGTCTCCATGACCTCCACCACCTCCAGAGGAGGCAAGTTCAGCACTGGCGGAGGGAAAGCCAAAGGTTTTCTCAGCCCCATCCAGTCTTTGCTCCAGGGAAAAGCCAAGAGCATTGAGGCGGTCCTTTAGCATACGGTTTTCATTCTTAAGCAGGTTGAGCTCTCCACGGATGGCCTGGTTCTGCTCTTGCAGGAGCAGCAACGTCGACTCCACATCTGCAGCTGTGATCACTGCAGCCGCCTCCCTCTCAGGTGGCCTCTCGTCCTCCTCATCTTCCTAGGAGCAACATAACATCATGGTGAGGGCTTTTAATCTAAAGTAGTAGTTTTAATCTAAGGGACATAGCACAATCAGTTATGTCACATTACAGATGCACCAACACTATTATTCACTGGCACTTGTCTCATCACATAAATACTTAAACTCACTATCCACATCCTAATTTCCCGAAGTATGATTATATGGCTGACCAAATTATGACTTCTTTTTAAAAACTATAGAGATATCCTTTATTCAATCCACTATGGAGGCCCATTTCCACCTCAGAGTAAAAAAATATATATAATAAAAAGGTAACTATGGCTTTACATCTCATAGTATGACTTTTTATCTCACAATGTGACTTGCATCCATTATTTTAAACTTAAGCGCACAAATACCTTTTTTATTTTCTTCTCTAAGGCGGAAACTGGATTCCATATCTATGAAATTGCTATAGAAAACAAAGCATGCATTGGATTACCTAAAACAAAATTTTTTACTTTGATTGTGCAATGTGTTTCGGTAGTTTGTATAGATTTTATTTTCAGTTAGAGTAGTACTTAATATAGGTTGAATTCGTTTTTTTCCTGAATTGCCATGCCGCTGCTGAATTTACAGTACCACAGAACATTATGAAAAGTCTGAATTGTCAGAAGTTTCTTAATGGAAGTAAAATATTATGTTACAACCACAGTCTTGTTTTGTTCGTTTGTTTATTCATAGTTATAATGTAAATATATATAATAAAAAGGTAACTATGGCTTTACATCTCATAGTATGACTTTTTATCTCACAATGTGACTTGCATCCATTATTTTAAACTTAAGCGCACAAATACCTTTTTTATTTTCTTCTCTAAGGCGGAAACTGGATTCCATATCTATGAAATTGCTATAGAAAACAAAGCATGCATTGGATTACCTAAAACAAAATTTTTTACTTTGATTGTGCAATGTGTTTCGGTAGTTTGTATAGATTTTATTTTCAGTTAGAGTAGTACTTAATATAGGTTGAATTCGTTTTTTTCCTGAATTGCCATGCCGCTGCTGAATTTACAGTACCACAGAACATTATGAAAAGTCTGAATTTTGAGTAAGAAGTTTCTTAATGAAAGTAAAATATTATGTTACAACCACAGTCTTTTGTTCGTTTGTTTATTCATAGTTATAATGTGAATTTGATCTAACCTCAGGCAGTCCCAGCTGAACCCTCATGTCCCTCAGCTCACCCCGTAGCTGCAGAATTTCCACGTCTTTGCTCTTGGCCAGACCTAACAGATTTTTTACTTTGGCTTCCAGGGCCACTTTATCACTTAGCTGTCCGTCAGACTTTGATTTGCTCATGCGGCTCTCTGAGTCTGAGGTTTGGGCTAGTCCACGGGAATGCCTGGGCTGGGCTCGATCAGAAGCACCAGTGGATGACTGCTTCTTACTGCTGGAGTTTCTGGAGTTTCGCAAACGATCACGTGAGGAGTTTGACTCCTTGGAGGCCGTGGATGAAGTCCGTTTGCCAGATGGGCCTTGTGAAGAAATAATGTCAAATACGAGAACAAATAAACAAAACACTTCACCTCGCACTGCTGAAACTTCAATTTTGTTCGTTTGTTTATTCATAGTTATAATGTGAATTTGATCTAACCTCAGGCAGTCCCAGCTGAACCCTCATGTCCCTCAGCTCACCCCGTAGCTGCAGGATTTCCACGTCTTTGCTCTTGGCCAGACCTAACAGATTTTTTACTTTGGCCTCCAGGGCCACTTTATCACTTAGCTGTCCGTCAGACTTTGATTTGCTCATGCGGCTCTCTGAGTCTGAGGTTTGGGCTAGTCCACGGGAATGCCTGGGCTGGGCTCGATCAGAAGCACCAGTGGATGACTGCTTCTTACTGCTGGAGTTTCTGGAGTTTCGCAAACGATCACGAGAGGAGTTTGACTCCTTGGAGGCCGTGGATGATGTCCGTTTGCCAGATGGACCTTGTGAAGAAATAATGTCAAATACGAGAACAAATAAACAAAACACTTCACCTCGCACTGCTGAAACTTCAACAGTAGTCTAAACAATGCTAAATAGTTATTTGGTTACTGGTTAAATTAAACAAAACCTTTAAATACCCAAGGTGGTCTTGATCTTTGTGTCAGGGTTATTAGTGTTTGTTCCACAGGACGTTGAGTGAGTAGAGGTTGATTTCTTGCCCTTGGCAACACTGCTGTTTGTCCCTGCACTGCTCCCAGCCATAGCAGTTAGAAGATCATCACTGCTTTTGACCTGTTAATCAAAGATGAACAAATCAACAGAAAAGCAACAATTACTGAGTGACTTAAATATTAGTTTAAGTTGTTGATCTGCGCAAGAGAATGATGTTACCTTGGAGAGCGGAGCTGTGGTAGGGCTCTTAACAGCGCTTTTGCCAGCAGAGGTTCCAGCTATCACTGCGTCACCTTTACCTCCTCCACTTGCTGCCTTATTCCCCACTGGCCTTCCTGCTTTCTTCATACTGCGCTCGCTCCTGGTGATGCATCTACCCCTCAGTCTGTGCAGAGATAAAGAGAACATAAGTTACAATTTATGGATTCACGGTGACTAATTTGAACTAAATGAACAAAATGCCAAAAAATGGTTGAGTAACCATACTGAAATCATAAAAAAAGAGATATAAATAAAAGGCTGAAATTCTTTAAAGTATTTCGGTATATGAATAAGATGCAGTGAAGCAGTAGTATTAGTATAGTAGTAAAATATTATAGTTTTAAAATGTAACATTTGAAAAACTTGCCAACCAAATCAATTTTGCCAGAAATAACCAACATTTAAAAAGATATTATATCACAAAGAGGACCCTCATGACTGTGCATCATGATCAGTAAGTATTTTTGGGTTCACAAATGATCTGTTCTGAAATTATATTACCCTAGGAAAACATAAAAAACTTGCTATTTTTAAAAACAATTTACATTGAAAAATTTTAAAAACATGTTTAATAATAACAATAGTCTATTACAATAAAAAATGGAACCTAAATAAACATTTTTTTTGTTAAAAACGTTTTAAAAATTATCTTTGAAAAATCGCTAAAACAATTTAAAAAATTATATATCTCAAAACTTTTCTGAAAATTGTATAAATGTTTTTCAATACATTTGACAAATATTAATACATAGACATAAAAAAAAGATTACTTTGCATCTGGCACATTTTAAACTAGATATTTATCTAGATTCTAGATTATCTAGAATGTAGATTTATAAAATAAGATCATATCTACAAATCATACAATCTATATATCTATAAATGTTTTGTTTTAATTGTTATTATTATTGAAAAGTGAAAAAAAAAGACTGGTTTAATAGTCTTGGAAGTTGTCAGAACGAAATTGAGTCGATGTCTGTTCACTTCCACCAGGGGGCAGAATGCACTAAAATGACAGCTGAAGAGCACTTGAACCGCTGGGTTAAAGGCTGAAATCAAAGAGCATGTCTTTCCCAAGGCTAGTTTAGCAGAAACAGCATGTTGGCAAATCTAACATGATGCTGACTTTCACTGAAGTTCTGATTGACTGTAATGACAATGATCTGGCTCACATGTGCTCTTAGTGTATTAAAAAGCCATTGAACTAGGCGTATAAGCACAGCTTGAGGCTTCACCATGAGTTCAAAGAAGAGCTTGCCGTCTGTCTGCTGGGGTGTTGCTCTCTACTGTATATGCTGCTGAAAAACAGTGCCTTAAAAGGCAGCAAAATCTTGCATGTGTTCAAGACGGTATCTACATAATACCAGAGCTGCCCATCTGCACAACAGGAAAACCTTCCACTTATTTTATCACTTTATTTTTATAGACAAATTCCAACTGAAGAGTGAAAGCATGAGATCAGACTCATGCAGTTCAAAGAAACAGATTGCAAGTAATGAGAGGGCAACAAGCTAGGCTAAATTATTCTGGGCATCGCACACTAATAGTGCCTGGAGATCAGAGCTATTAGATTCTATCATGGAAAAAACATCTGAAGAGCATTAATGGAGCCTCATTATATCACTATTCACCTTCAAAGCAAACCACACCACAAACAAACCGCTCACATAGGTCACAGCACAACAAAGGACACAACATTCATGAAAATTGAAGTTCATCTATAAATTTGGTTATTATTTACTAACCCTCATGTAGTTTCAAAACCATATGACTTTATTGTGTGGAGCACAAAATGGAGCAACTCAGAAGACTGTACTGTTCACTCTTTTCCATGCAATTGTAATGGAGTCTGACATTTTCAAGTTTAATTAACAGTTTAATGAAACGTTTTCAATGAATCAGCTGATTTGATTCTTTAGTTTAAAGGGGTCATATGATGCGATTTCAATTTTTCATTTCTCTTTGGAGTGTTACAAGCTCTTGGTGCATAAAGAAGATCTGTAAAGTTGCAAAGACTAAAGTCTCAAATCCAAAGAGATATTCTTTATAAAAGTTAAGTCAACCATGCCTACCTAAAACGGCTCATTCTAACACGCCCCCACATGTCTACATCACGATGTGGGAAGATTTGCATAACGGCGCCCAAATGTTCACACAAAGAAAGAAGGCGTAACTTTTATTCTCGCTGTGGTATTGTTGCTGCCGCCATGTCGTGAACACCATGACGGAGTCGTGTGCGTTTCGTTGTGAAAGCGAAACTACTTTGTTTGGTCTTCCAAAAATGGACATGACTAGAAATCAGTGGTTAAGTTGTATTTACAACACTGTTCCAGAACAGTTCAACCTAAATATTCAGATGTGTGCAGCGCATTTTATGGAGGACTGTTTACTTATCCTGGTAGAGTAGACTACAATGCCGGCTGTTCTGACTCCACAGACTGTAAGTACGTTTTCATATTTAAAGGATTTGCCACTGACGATTCAAACGTGAGTTTTGAGCAGTGTAGAGTAGCGCTTGTTTGTAATTTCTCCGATCACAAATGCAGACATGGTTTTGTTTACGCGGCACGACATTTATAAAGAGAGTATAAGTCATTATAATCCGTAATTATGTCCCCACTGGATGCAACAAATGCCTCGTTTATAATGGGTTTTAATGTTTTTGTCTCGTCGCTCCGGCCGGACAGGGCATCATCACAGTATGGTAAGGGGCGTAACATTTCCGTCACACGCTTGAGGTATTCGGCCAATCACAATGCACTGGATAGCTGGCCAATCACAGCACACCTCACTTTTCAGACCGATGAGCTTTGTAAAAATCGACGCGTTTCAGAAAGGCGGGGCATAGAGGAGAAACAATAATGTACAGTATGTGGAAAATAATGTTTTTTGAACCTTAAACCGCATAAACACATTTCATTACACCAAATAATGTTCTTTTTAACAACATCATATGACCCCTTTAACTCACCAATCAATCAATGATTCAGTCAAAGCATTTAAAAGCTCACTGTAAGTGTAAATACAGCCAATTCAGTAAATGCAAAATGCGAAACTGGGCAAGCTGTGTGACGGAGAGGCTTGCTTCAGAACAAAGCAGATAAAACAGACAATAACTGTCTATTTTTCCATTAAGTTGTTGCAATTTACATGCCACCTTTCCATTAAAAGGTGGATACTGTAATATCAATCAAATTGTTTAAGAATACTGAGAACAATGGGATTATTATATATTGTATTGTAGGAGTATATCATAGTACATTATATTAGCCTGCTTTAAATATAAGCAAGACTTTTGAAAGACTGCAACTACAAAACAAGCCTAAAACAATGACAGTTCAGTGAATCACAAAGCTTTCATATGGCTTCTGAATACATGAAAAAGCATCATAAAAGTGCACTATATTCCATCCTTTGTGAAGCTTGAAAGCTCCAGTCCCCATTCACTGTAGGTGCATAAAAAGAGCAGCCAGCACAGCCTTCAAAATATCTTCTTATGTGTTCTGCAGAAGAAATAAAGTCATACAGATTTAGAACAACATGAGGATGACTAAATGATGACTGAACTTTAAGAAAATAATATGCACATTACCCAACATCTTTTAATTTTGAGTGAAAACTGAAAAAGTGAAAATAGGTTTCGTTCTGCAAAATAGCCAGTATTTTCCAAAATGTTTTGGAGAGATATCATGAATCACAGCTTCAAAATTTCTAACCCAGTCCTCTGCACTTGTTTTTGGACTGTGTAGATCTTTCCAGATCATTCATTTAATAGATCTCGATTGTCCTCTCAAGCCTGATCATAGCGAGGCAAAGAGCCCGTTCCTCCTGTCTCTCAATGGAAGAGAAAATAAGGCCTAATATCTTACAGCTGTTGTGAGGCAGGGGGTGGGGGTATGTTGGAGAACGTTTGCTCATTTCCAATTTACAGACCCCCCAATGGAAAAAGACTTCAGCACACATTCCCTTAAAGGGAGAGGTTTGGAGCATGACTCCAGGATAGATTTTGTTCAGAACCATCCTGAAAAAAACGCTGCGTCAGTCTTCCAGAAATGAAAACTAAACACTCAAACATAAATTGCTTATTGTGAATTGTAATATTTATTGGTAAATAAATGCAAAATACATACAATTAATAACAAGCATGCCCAATATTATATATAGAAATACACTGCATACTATATGCATAAAAACTTTTTATATTAAGCTTAGTCCAGAGACATGCATCCAAAGCATGCTGAGATGAAGTCAATCAAAACACTTGTCCTGGCATACAAGACAATCATCTACTCACCTGGTGAACTCCGGAATAATGACTCACCCCTTAGACCCATATGTAACTTGTCACACCCTTAACATGACAACAAGACTAAGCACTTTGTTGTTTTCACACCCAACTTTCACTACAGAATGGTAGAATCCCACCCAATCTTCAGGCACTGACTTAAGACTCACTTCTTTTAATAATAACTGGATTAATTGTGACTGAGGAAAATACTGTGTTGACTTGTTGATGCATTTTATTTGTATGAGTTCATCCTTTTTATCCCAGCAGTTAACTTTCTGAAATACATGCCATCTGTTGACCACGGCGGTATCACACATGTGAAACTAAAGCACATTACACAGGCTGTGATAGATAAAAGTGATGTGGGGATTTAAATCGGATAAATTAAAGATGAATGTTAAACATGCATTTAACTAGGTTTTAAATTCGGCATGAAATGGAAGTTGCAAATCACATTTTTCCATATTGTGAATGTCTGACAAAAACGGCTTATCAAACGAGAAAAAAAAACATAGGGCGGGACTTGACTTTGTCCATCAGGAATGCACGGATAAATCATTTATAAAAAAACAACACACTGCAATATTCCATCAAAAAATAAGAATTGACCTATCGGTAAGCCCCGCCCCCCTTAGTTACTGTTGCTCACTCAGACAAACAAACGGAGTTGCTAACTGTCTTTTACAATGACAGCTGTCAGTTGTCCCACAATGTTTTTGATCAATTTTGAACACAGAAGGACCACCATTCAAGTGGGACTTAAATATGGCATGGAGGGATATATAAAAATTTTAAAATAAATATGGTGGGTAACAAGATTAATTTGGAAGCAAGGG